AAAGAACATCTTTAAGCGTAACAAAACGTTACTAAATGTCAGTTGCCACCTCTAAAACTAGTCCACTCATTCTAACCTTTTTTTTAAATATTTTTATTTTTATGAGAGAGCTCATTGTTTTTGAAAAAAAAGAGGTATCATTTATTTTTTAAACAAGTTTTACGGCCGTTTAACTCCACGGTATTATAGACAAAGATACGAGGCAAATTTCTATTATAAATTCTTAAATGTTTTTAAAACTTAAGGTTCCAAGGAATCATCAACGCTTAATAAAAAGCGAGCTTTTTTATAAAATATTCGTACGCACGTTAGTCTTTTAGATGAACACATCAACGTGATCATTGAGCTGTATACAAACGCCCTTAGCTGCTGAGTTAATGAAGTATAAAATTCTATTAGGCGAGACACGTCGCTTTAGATCCATCATGAGTTTTACAGCAAAATACCTTCATACATTAAACGTTTTAATAACAAAAATAATTTATCAATAACTTTAATCAATCAGTAACTTTAGTATTTACTAAGGAACTACTTTTTTTATATAATAGGGAAGTGACCGTTGGACATAGACATACGCAATTGCATATGCGTTGCCTGCCTTTAATCGTCGGAGAGCATGCACAGAAAGAAAATATTTTCCCTTTCCATTTTTTTTATATCATAAGGTGGCAAACGAGCGAGCGGCCACTTGAAATCGCTGAAATAGCGAAGTGACCGTTGCCCATAGACATACGCAATTGCATATGCGTTGCCTACTTTGAATCGACGGAGGAGATCCATGCATCCTCTCATCCGGAAAGTCCACTTCCACTTCCCATCCTTTCATTATAAGAAAAGGGTGGGAAGGGAAAGAGGAGGATCTATTTAAACTTGTCCAGAGTCTAAATAAAATATAAGTAACACGGTAGTCAAGTCTACAGGCATTCTTTCAAGGAATTAATTTGGGCATTGTCTTGTTTCACCTTTATTGCACAAACCATCGATTCTTATAGATACATGTAAGAGGAAATAAGTACGGCATTTAATAATCTTCTACAATACATTTACGACATTTAAAAGAATTACAGTTGAATGAAACCAAACATACCTTTACTTAAAGCAAATAACAGCTATGGATAAAGAGATAGTAGTATAGGATTCAGTGTACAACACGCGGTCACGAACAAAGCTGTATTTGTTCCCGGCCGGTGTAAAGCACAGGTTATCTGACGCTATAAATAGGACAGTCCTGGTTCGTTGGTTTGTAAACGACGTACGTTTATCTCAAAGAGATTCAAATAAATCAGTTATAGAGAGGACATTCGTGCTATTTCAACAAACAAATGCCACTTTACATGGCGATGGTGAACTAGAATTATTACTATAGTAAATTTTAAATAATTCTAAAAAATATTTAATAGTCTTTTTAAATTTCTGTTCATTATATTGTTGCGAACTTTGGTCGTATGAAGTACTCACTAATAAGTAAACATAAACTTAAATATTCTGTTGCCGAAAATGTTTTAGGTTTAAAGTTTGTTTTAATACTGTTCTTATTATAAGTTAAAACATCTCACCCTTGTTTTACTGCGATAAGAAGTCAAAGGTAAGAGCGAAGAATGACGTCTCAATCTGTTACACGGTAGATATATTTTTTATCAATAAAAGCTTAATCTAAGAGCCAGACGAAATGATTAGGTGTCTACGGTTTTTAAAAATATTAAATAAGATTCTCCGTAATTTTTATTTTAACAATTCCAACTTATTTTCATATCATGCTTGCAAGATTTTAAGATTTCAATACTTGTTATAAATAATGATAAAGACGAATGACATCTTAAATTTAAAAATCGGCCAGACGTATATAAGGTACAAGCGGTCAGAATAAGACATAGTTAACGTGTTATTACTCTCTTAATACTCACGTAGATTGTCAGACAATTGAATCGTAGATTTCTCTGATTGTAATTAACTCCTTCGGTCTTAATCTGACGCGAATGAGTTTAAGAACCGACTTTTTAACTTGTTAATCTGACTGGCTGCCCTAAAAGCGCGTCTCTATATGAAGAGTTATATGGCGCGGCCTATTTGTGATGGGAGACCTTGTGTGCAAGTAAATCCCAAAATCCCCGCTTCCCCTCCTATTATTACTTACGAGTTAAACCCGTATGTACTTACTGTTATGAACAAAATCCGACACTATGCCGGTGTACTGGCGCAACACTACGGCGTTACTAAAATGTCGACGTTTATGTCCCTACTAATCACTAATCCCCTCACTAATCGTTCTTTGACTTTGTAATGAAAGCCCGCTATTCGTGCTAAAGGATTCTACTTAATAATGTCTAAAATTACATACACGTAAAAAACATTTCTGTGAATCGGTCAATAGAGACAATGTAATTTAATAATATTGTTTTACGCCATAAATTATCGCAGATGCTGACAATAGGATAAGTTATGAGGGCTTATTTTTACACCCATTGTGCGCGTTTGAGATAAAAATAGGTTTTTGTGGTTGAAACGAGCTCCGTCATGATACTCGATGATCTATTTTCTCCGAGAGTCTGTTCTTGTGTGCGTCCATACATCACATTATGAATAATAACCTCGCCTACAATTTGTCGATATGAAAACGTACGTATTTCTCATAAGAATATCTTCATCTTAACGCTACTTTAAGAAGAAAGACGGAACATAGATTTGATTAAGTATTGAAATATAAATTAAAAAATTAACATTATAAATTGCACCATTATTTATTTAGTAATTAAACAACTTACACTCGTTATAAAAACTAATAAGCTTCAAAATTTACAATAGACTTTTTCAAGATTATTGTAAAGTGTATAGATTAAAAATAAATTCTATTTTTAAAAAAGAGCACGACACGATACGTGACATATAAGCCAATGGTTACATTTTGCTTCAGCGATTTTCAACTGTCACCTTGAGCTATTGGAACGGAGGGATAAAAAAGGATAATTTCATTAGTCTACATGTAATGTAGCCAAAACTAGTCAGAATGAAATACAGAAACCATTCCTTCTGTTTCTCTATATTTCCTAGTGTTGCCAGAATATATTACCATACAATAGCTACGCTACAGCTTTTTTGGTCTGGTCAATTGAAACTAAAAAGTTGTAACGAAATTGCAGTCACAAAAAGTAGTTTAGATTCTTTTCATTTCTAAATATATCTCTTGAAATACGCACTCAGTCTGCAAGAATTATTGCAAACTATAAATTTACATCAATACTTTTAAATCAGAGCACCGGGGAACTGTGTGACGTAAATCTAGGTTATAGGAATATAAAAGAACCTTCACAAGAGATCAGTTGCGACTTTGTAGGTGGATTGATTAAGTACTCATGAATAATGTACTGCTCTTTGTTCAAAGCACACGTTTTCCTTCGTTTCACATTACATGTGGCATTTATAGACACAGAATCTGGCTATGCTTCAGTCTGTTATAAGATAAAAGAAAGATTTTTTACACTAACACCTTTGAAATTAATACACTGATTGTAATAACAATAGGATTAATTTTTCCGCAATAGTCTAGGACATGGTTAGCAACTTTATATTAGACTTCTATTATTTTTTAAAATTCAATAAAAAAGGTAAAGAACCAACCAGCCAGTATCACAAGTATGAAAATCTTCTTATCGGTTGAAGGAATTCTTACGAAGCAATGCATTGTCGATGGGAAAATATGAGTGAAACTAAATCGTTAGATTATTTTCTGCGAACTGTGAACGGAGATATGTCCATGGATATTTTCTCGGAACAACTTCTTCATGGAAATGAACTACTATGAAAAATGAAAAGCTTAACAATTCCATTTACGAGTAAAAAGAGGGTACAGAGAACTCTCCCGTTGAAGTCATTCTCATTAAAAAATTATTTAGTATTTTTTTTGTTTTTGAATTCTACATCGCCAATAACAAAGATTGTTGTTTTTTTCTGAACGAAGCTAAAATGATAGATGTAGATGTTTTCTTCAGATTTTTGCTAAGTTTATAGATATTGAGTAAGATGTTACAGAATAATAATAAATTGTACTAGTAAAGGACGTAATATATTATGTTGTACTATTTTGAAGGTTATTCTGACGCATAACCTTGAACATATTTACGAACAAACTAAATATAGATAATAAAAAAACAAATCAATTGAAATTTTATGTGAAAGAATATTTTAGTTTCGATCGCGTAAGACCATCAAATATTTAAATAATACATGTAGTAAATATTTATTGCTACATTTTATGTTTGTTTCGTAGAAGAATCTTGTATTTTTATAGTTTAGAAATGCCAATATCCTAATGGTTAAGGGTACGGATTTCCAATTACGCAGTCTAGAGTTCGAATCCCGCCATTTGACTATTGTTAACCATATCCTAGCACAACCTTAGTCGGAATTTAAGAAATATTAGTAAATAAACAAAAATCTGCTAATCATCATCAGCATCAGCTCACTATACGTCCCTACCGAGGGGCTCGGAGCCTACCCTAAGCTAGAGGTGATTAGGGTGAACATCGGATAAATGTACATGTAGAAATCGGAAATCGAAAAACACATTGGTACATGGCGGGATTCGAACGCAGGACCTACAGATTACAAGTCAAGTGCTTGAGCCCTGAGCCACCGACGCTCTTTAAAAATCTGCTAATATTTTTAACAAACAAAAATAGTGCAGATATTAAAACAAACCACCCAATATCCGCAGTCATTTTTTTTAAATCTATAAATTTAATGACTACTTATTATCAGATACATTTAAGGGATGAATTATTATATTTGGAGTCATGTATTTGTTCAGGCTTATGGTAGTCGAACCCTTGGGACCGGTGACGAATATATTAGGGGTAACATTTTACAACATGCCATATAAAATATACAACTTTACATTTAATTAAAAAAAAACCGGACTGATGTCGCTAGGGAGATAAATAGGTTTTAACTTTTGTTATGATAAATCTTGTTTATAAAAATTTAAATTAATTTTTGATACGTACATGATCCTTGGAACTCAGTGTGTATTGTCATTAACTTCATATCTGTAACAAAATATTTAAGTGGTATTAACAGAGCTTCGGTGGCTCAGGGGTCAAGCACTTGACTCGCCCTCTCAAGGTCCAGGGTTCGAATCCCGCCATGTACCAATGTGTTTTTCGATTTCCGATTTACGTATGTTTATCCATTTCCATCCATTTGATGCAACCTGCACATATCTGAGAAGAAATTCAAAGATATGTGTGTATTATTCAAACTTTCGTGAGACATTATACTAAACTGATATATAAACACGGCTAAATACTCACGTATATACGTCCGGTGGCGGCACCGACGTGAGAGACGGGCTGCGTCCGCGAAATAATACCAGTACCACTCATCCTGATGAAGGGCCCCCGATGGGCTCGAAACTAGTAGGTGCCGCCACCGGACGTATATACGTGAGTGTTTAGCCGTGTTTATATATCAGTTTGATATGTGTAAAGTTACAACCCACCCGCACTCGACCAGGGTGGTTGACTATGGCCCAGTCACCCGTAAACTAGGGTAGGCTCCGAGCCCCTCGGTGGGGACGTATAGTGAGCTGATGATGATGATTAAAACCTTTTGCGATACAAACTAGACCTTTAAAAAACTTGTAAGAAAGAAAAAGTGTTAGTTTAGGATATAAATCTCTTAGAATACAGCAAAGCGTCCATTTGTCTTAACTAATGAGAATCTTAGGCCATTAGTTTAGTGTAGTAACTTTAGTTTCTATATTGTACTGGCTGTAGTAAGGCGCAGCCACTTTGGGATATTCCAGGGCTGAATTCGCGGATTTTTTTTTGCAATTCGTTAGTTTTAAGTTTACTACGTTAGCTTTTAAATATTATATTTTGTCAAAACCAATTAAATATTTATGATCACGTTTAATCCTGTCACTGTTTAAAATATTTTAATTTTTAAATTATCGAGAGTACAATTAAAGACAAAAGCAACAGTGATGATGTTATTTATATTATAATATGTACTAAAAAGGTATAATAGAATAAGAAAAAGAAGAATAAGAATTCCTAATGCAAAATATAAATTGTTGCCTGACATTTCTAGTTCTACTAAAACGTATAAAAGTCAAGGAAAACGGAACCGGAAACGGTTGCAGCTATCGCAACGTCGCAGAGAAGACGTCACTCACAAGAAACTTTCGCAAATCTTAACGTCTGCAATTTTGAATGTTATATTATTCAATATCGATTTCTCTATTTTCGAACGTCTTGCTTACTATTCTTTAGTATTTCGACGAAGTTAATCGAATCAAAAACGTAACACAATAGAAACTGACTGAATTTTTTAAATTAAATGTAATACTATTTAAATTAAATGTAACTCAAGTTTCGACTGACAGACGACGTATGCTGATGATATCTGAATTCGATAAAAGATATATTCGAATTTTATCAAGTATTATTGAGTACGAAAGTTAAAAAATAAATACGCCATTTAGAATCAGAGTAACTTTAACTTCGTATACACAGACGTGACTTATCTGGTGTAAAAAGATTAATAAATTTATATTTAGGAAGATACAGAAAGAACATTAAATCCCCAAGACTACGTAAAACATTTTACAAACAAAAGTGTCAATATCAGTGACATTTTGTATTATGTTTTTATAAGTTTATCGATAGTGGAAACCCATGATAAGAAACATATACAACGGTTATATCTTTTTACAGTGGCTCCTGTACATCAAACATTCAATATCCAAAGCTATCTAGATAACATTCTCTTCCTACTACAATGTTTTGTGTTCAGATAAAGCGATGTCACGTTCTTTACAGGATAGCGTTGTGTTGGGGAATATCAAATACGCGGGCGAAATGGGAATGTTATCCCCCAAACATCTAACTGTGCGTTGATATACCATTACTTTTTAAAAGGCTTTTCTAACATACCGAAAAGTAGATAGAAAAACGATTATTGTATTTATGTTAATTTTATAAATATTAAAGACTTGTTTGTTACTTGATCTACTACTAGTATTGATCTTGTTCCAACCATAAATTATATCTTTAAGCTCGATCCGAAGATAATTTAAATAGAGAGGTATAGAACCTCTCATTAGGTTTTCTATTGCTATTGCGTTATCATAAGCAGAGGTAGTAACTTTAAACAGTGGTAGATGCCAGCTACAACAATATCAATTGCACCAACTGTTCAGTTTGCCCGATGCAATACTACGACCACAAAGAAGACAGGTGTCAAGTGGGAGTTATTCCGTGGTTCGTCTGATGAGTGAGGTGCCGGAGGTCTAATTTTAGTCCCCTTTCCCTTTCCACCCTTTTTATGGATAAAATAGGAAGGAGTAATGGATTTGGGGGGATGCACAGTATCTGAGGGGATAAACACTTTTTCTATGTTTCTTCCGTGGATTAAATGTAGGCAATGCATCTACAACTGGGGAAATCTAAGGGCAACAGTTGCTTCGCTATTTCGGCGTATTATAGAATAAAAGCGAGGTAATTCATATCTTAGAGAATAACCTCTCATCTCGAGTCAATGATGTTACAGATTTGAATTATTGTGCATTTCTATATCGAGTCACATCGTTTCGTTGATATAACAATCAAAGTTAACTATAATAACCTTTAGTGCTATTTGATTTCCATTCAAATAGTTGTCATTTGATTGTAGAACGATATCGTTTTACTTTTATTATGCGTTACGTTAAATTAGTATATCCATTTTTGTTTTAAAACAATTTACAGTAAGGGTTATGGCATAATATCCGTTAATAAAATCGTTTTACTCCTAACAAAGGTTATAAAAGACCCTTTTGCAGGCAGCTTAGGGACCGTATTGTGATACAAATTTCCCTTTATTGGAAGACAGTTTACACCTTCACAAAGTAACCTAATACATTGTTTGTCGCCAATATTAGTGTACATATATTTTATACTCTACAAATATATAACACGTTTTGGTCATTCTTAAATGATTTAGTGCTTTCAATATAGTAGGCAGTTATCAAATTGGTAGACTAGATTTAATTTACTTAATGACAGCCAGCAAGCAAGAATGTGACTGGCAACAATCGATGTTTAAAAATTAAAAAAAAAATAGCAATGTCTCTATGCCTCATTTGTGGCTTATCTTACTAATATCTTTATACTATAATATTATAAATTTGAATGTTTGGATGGATGGATGGATGAATTGATGTTTGTTTGAACACATAATCATCTAATTATTATTTTTTTCAATACCGCGCGGGCGGAGTCGCGGGCGACAGCTAGTTTTGCAATAAAAAAGAGAAATAATATCTTTGACATTAAATTCAATTCCAAAATAATGAACAATAGAAGATAACGCGTGGGATAAAGCTGACTATAAAATCGATCATTAATTTTAAATGTAAACGCAAGCCCTCGCTTGTTACTATTACGTTATATTTAGTTTACGACTACATCAAACTTCCTTTAAACAAGACACGTAAGCAGGGCCGCTAATACATGTGTAATGAGTTGAGGTTATATAATAATAACTTCTTAATACAAAGTATCAGGCCACTTCAAGCTCGGTGAAGCTAAAAAATATTGACTACTCAGTCACAAAAAAAATGTATCATCACCTCCTTGTTCCTATCCGACACGTAGGGTACGCGCAACAGTTTTTGTCCTCCATATCGATTTATCCGTCATCTCAGTCGTCACTCCCTCCTTGATCATGTCATCTTTCAGGCAATCCATCCTGTTTTGCCTACCACTAACGGTGTTCCTGTCCACAATCTAAACAAAAGTACTGCTTGTCACATGCGATTCTAAGCTACATAGCGTATGTTAAATATTGCTGTTGACATTTGTAACAACGTAACTACATATCGGTAAATATAACCTTTAGGGATATAGATTATGCATTAAGGAGGTTTAATGTTAGTTTAAGTCAATTAGTCGGCTTAATTCAGAGAATTAGGTGAATAAACACGCCTAATGGTGTTGACAAATACAATCCAAAGTCCATTAATTGTGACTAAGACGGGTTCATTGACCTCACAAGGTGCCAGTAAATTCATTTTGTACTAGCTGTCGCTCGCGACTCCGTCCCCGAGGAATAATTAGTAGCCTATGTGTTCTTTAGGCTATGTTCTACATCTACACAAAATTTCAGCGAGGTCCATGCAGTCGTTTCTGAGATACCTTCAATCAAATATCCATCCATCCATCCATCTAAAAATTTGCATTTATAATATTAATAAGACAGTAAGAAGTAATATAGAGAAAGTATTATACTACTTAATACCAAATTAAATTATTTTATTGCCCAAAATAAAATGGCATTCGTAGAAAAACAACTTTTTAAATTTCTGATTACCAACTTAAACCATAATTTTATACGGGGTTATTTTAACACTATAAAGACCAGCGGCTTGTGAGTTTTATACTTTCAGATTCTTTAACAATTTAATCTTTTAATAGTACAGATCAATCTAAAATAAAATTCTATATAAAATGTTTTATTTCTAAAGTTTTTAAAACTGTTGAATCGTATATGAGACAAGGTAAAGTGGAAAATATCTTCAATATTACTAGAAACTACTCTGCACTTTGCTTCTACAACTTGTCTTATCTTAAGAAAATGTTTAAACTTGTTAAAACTTTGTATTTTATTCGATTTGTCTTTGTTCAAGTCTTTGTTATTTTATCTTTGATAAAGTTCATTATTTAGTTTCACCTGTCCTGATGTTTGTCATCAAATCTTCCAAATTTAAACTACTTCCCGGTTACTGATTGAACTAAAATTTACACACATGTTTAAATGCGTGAAAATACAATACTATGTCGTGGTACTGATGATGGTGCTACAAGGTGGTCATAGGAACTTCGCAATTAAATAACATAACCTCATCGAGTTGGAGCTCGTTTGCATCGTCTTGACGACCTTTTCAGGGTTTCGTACCTTATAGGCAAAAAAACGGAACCATTATAGGATCACTATGTTGTCCGTCTGTCTGTCAAGACCCTTTTTTAACTTAAACTTTTTGAAATTAACAAGAATATAAGCTTTT